TCGAGGTGAGCCCGAAGGTTTGCCCAAGATGCCGAGACCGTGGCCGCGCCCGAGATGGCTGGGGCAGCGGCGCCCTGCAGCCCAGTCGCAGACTGCGCCCGGACGTAGTCGGCGTTCACGAGAATGGCCCCATCGGTCCACTCAGTCCAGCCCGCGAGCAACTCCGACTCCAGGCGCTGCGGGAACGTCGGGGGGGCCTCGTCAATATCGACGTCGCTGACGTCATCGTCGTTGATTATCGAGGCGCAGAGCGTCCTGCGCCAGGCCACCGTCGTCGGCGCTGGCGGCCATCGCGGGGCCCCCAGCGGCCGAGGCGGCCGGGGCGGCAGCTGGGGAAGGCGCGGCCAGAATCAGAGACGCTGCGTCATTTGTCTCAGCGCGACGACGCGCGACTCCTCTGCGAGCCCCGCCTGAGTCACGGCCCGCCGGCATGGTCCGCTGGCGCGAGAGGCCCCGACGCCAAGGCGGGCCGATGGTGCGCCGAGAACACGTCGAGGGCGGGCCCCTCAAGGCGGCCGGCCTCCCAGTCGGAAAAAGTGAGCGCTCGCAGGGAAGCAGGGCCGCTGATCTGATCAGCACCCGAGGCGGAGCTCGCCAGACTGGCGACCAACTTGAGGAAGACCCCCATGGACGCGCGGATATCGCCAAAGTCGCCCGCGGGGATCGAGAAGTCGCCCTGCGCGGCTCTCCGAAGAGAGCGGCCCTGGGAAGTCCACGGGGCGACGAAGCCTGGGGGCGCTTCGGGGCGGTCTCCGACTTTGCTCAAGTCTCCAAGGGCAAGCGCGAAGTCGTTGAGCTGTCGCGGGGCAGCCGCGCCCAGCAGAAGACGCACGACGCCCTCGCTCTGAGGCGCGCGGGGGAGGGGGCGCGCGGCAAAGCGACATCGAAGCCCCCGGCAGTCCGCGGGCGGCGGAACGCGCGGACAACCGGGGGGCGGAGGGGCCTCGCTGCGAAGTGGGCGCAGGCAAGCGGCCGCGGTCAAGAAAGAAAGGATGCACCCGTCATCGCGGACGGGGGCGACCGCAGAACGGCTGTCGCCCGGGCCCCCAACGCGGCGGGGGCGGGGCGCGGCGCCGCGGCAGCGCGCCCGGGGCGGCGCGCGCGGCCCGATCCGAGCCCGAGGCGGCGCAGGAGGTCCAGGGCCCAGAGGGGCGCTGCCCGAATTGCACTCGTGAGTACGCAGGCGCGAAGGCCAGCAGGAGGAGAAACCCGGGGGCGCCCGCCAGGGTGGACGGGCACTTGGCCAGCTCACCGCACGTCTGACGCTGGAAAGTCCGCCTGAGGTGAACACCGGATGGTCTCAAGGAGCACCCGTTGCTGGGCCAGCTCGAACGCCTCCTGCCGACGCTCCAAAGTTGTCTGCTGTTAAGGCCCAGTAAGACGACCAGCGCGCTGACCCCCACCTTCGCGACAAGAGGTGCGTCGCGCATTCGCCGCCCGTGCGCCGCCCGTGCGTCGGCCGCCGAAAAGACCAGCCGCCCTCTCGAACGCGCGCGCCGCCCTCGCAAGGGGGCAATTTGGCGAGTGCGTCGCCGGCGCGGCGGGCGCCCACGGGGCGGATCGCACGCGCGTCGCCCGCTCCACGGCCGCTGAAAAGGCCGGTCGCCTTCGGGAAAAAGAAAGTCGCCCACGCCGCGGCCCCCTTGGCGAGAAGAGGCGGCCGCTGGGCTACCTCGGCAGATCAACAGATCCTTCTAACATTAGAAATGCCGCGATGCTGCTGAACGCACCCCGGCGCTATGCCAGCAGGTCCCCACAGCCGCCGCCAAAGCCGCCGCGACCGCCGCCAGCGTCAAAACTACCACCGCCACGATCGCCACAGAAGGACGCGACCGCAACCACATCCACCGCGACGATTACGACCAACACCATTTACCGCCATCACCACCACCACGATCACCACGCTTCTCGCGACCACCACAACGGCCGACACAAGCACGACCACCGACGCGACCACCACCAGCCCGCCCACCACCCGCGGCGCGACCCCACCAGCGCGACCACGGCGACGAACGCGACCACGACCACGATCACCAACATGACCATTACAGAAGCACCCGCCCGCTCCGCCCCCCCCCCTCCCGCCCCCGTTCTCCTGCCGGGCCGCCCTCGCCGCCGCGCCCGCCTCGCGCCCCTGCCCCCCCCACCCCCCCCTCCTTTCCTCCTCGCAATATTCCTCTTCCATCGTTAGCGGCGGGGCCATTCGCTGAAGGCGGGGGCGCCGCTCGCGGCGACGCGCCGCGGCCGCGGAGGGGAGACCGCAGGAGAAGGAGACAACGAAAAGGGGCACGGGGTGGCGAGGGAAAAAAACAAGGACGAGAGAGGAGGGGGGAGGGACGGACAGAGAGAGGGAGGCCGGGAGCAAGGAGGAGAAGCAGGGGAGGAGAGGGGGAGACGAGGCAAGGGGGACGGAGGAGGAGGAATGACGAAAGAGGAGGGACGACGAGGAAGGAAAAAGGGAAGAAACAGGGGCAAGCACCGCCCTTCCTGGCGCAATGGGGGACGCAGCCGCCGCCACTCGTGAACGGCGCAAGCACGGCGGGCCGACGGCCGTTGCGCATTGCTGTTCGGGGAATTGCTACGGGCGGGCAAAGTCGCGATTGCGTCGCGCATGCGTCGCGCGTGCGTCGCGCGCGCGTCGCGCGTGCGTCGCGGGTGCGTCGCGCTTGCTTCGCGCGCGTGGCGCGTGCGTCGCGCGGGTCGTTCGTGCGTCGCGCGCTGGCAGGGGTGCGTCGCGCGCGGGTCGGGGCGCGTCGCGCGCGCGCGTCGCGCGCGCGTCGCGCGCGCGTCGCGCGAGCGTCGCCTGGGTCGTTCGCGCGTCGCGCGCAGGACGCGCGCGAATGGCTCGAAGTGCGCCGCGGACTTCGGACGGCACGTGAACCGCGCGGCCCGCGGACGAAACAATCAAGGGCCGCGCGCGACAATCGTAGAAATAGCGAGACACGCACGCGAGAACTACGAACGCGAGGAGACCAATAGACGACATGGAGACGCAGCGCGCACGGACTAATTCATTTCAAACGCACGCCCCGTCAGAATTTGAACATCGGTTCGTCGCTGCAGCCATTTGGCGACGTCTCGCCCGCCGATGCATTGGGGGGAAAAGAGGAGGGAAGTGAGGCGAGGGATGGGCGGGCGGAAAAGGGAACGGACCGGCAAGGAGGGGGCGCGCGGAGGCGGCGCAGCGGCGGCGGGAACGACGGAAGGCAATCGAAGGGGGGCGGCGAGAGCGAGGAGGGCGAGAAGGAAGTTCCAGGAGGGTGGAAGGACAACGGGGGTGAGTAGGGAGGGGGACAGGACGGCAGCCTGACACAAAAGAACTGAATACAAATTTTGCAAACGGGACAAAACGCGCAGAGCGTTGGACAAGGGGGAGAGGAAGGAAGAGGGGGGGGCAGGAGGATTGGCGCGAAACGACACGGGGGTTCGCGGCGCGATGCGACGGGCCGAAGCGGCGCCGCGTCGCACGACGCGACGTCACCCCCACCGTGGCGCAACACGCACAGCCCCACATCAACGCGAGGCGTCTTCGCCCTCAGCAACGGTTGGCGCCCCCGAAAATGCGCACCAGCAAATCCTCTTGCGCCAAATTGGAAACAGAGAGCGTTTGTGCACCGCCGAACTAAGGGTGCGCCAAGACCGCCAAAATGGCTGCTGGCGCACCGGCGTCGGAAACCTATATATCGCCAGAGAAATTCCGAAGTCGCGCCACACGTCGCCCACGCACTCTGGGAGGCCGGGATTCGGGACAGAGACGCAAACCAAGGCCGGCGCGCGGGCGACGCTCGGGCGACGCACTGAACGAAACTTAAGGGGGGGGGATCGCATGACTGGGCCTTAACATTGTCTGCCAGGCTGGGGCGGCGGGCGATGTCATGGCGAGGGCAGCGTCGCGCGAGAGAACGTCGAAGGTAACCATTCGACGAAATTCTCCGCTAGCTTCACGACCAGCCCTGCTGCGAGGGCGCAGTCTATATGGAGGAGGAGAAACAAGGCCTTGCGGCCGGGGCCAGCCATGGCGACGCCAAGGAAAGCCACCCAGTGCCTCTCTCCCCTGTCAACGGCGACGTTGAGGCGGCGTGGGCGGTCTGTGTGGCCAAGAATGAAGCTTGAAGCAATAAGCGTGAAGCCTCGGCTGAAAAAGGCCCACGGGGCCAAGAATGAAGGCCGCATTGTAGCGCCCACAGGACACGAGGACCAAGTTAGCCTCGTCGCCCTGCACATGTTTGTTTTCGTTCCCCACTGACCACACAGCCAAGCTCTGCGCGCCTGGCCGCACGGTTCGTAGGCTCCCTCGGGAACCCACTCGCCCACTCCCCGACGTACTCGATGTTCACGAGGTTCACCGCAACGTCCTTGGACTTGCCCTTGGCCGTGCCTCCCCGCCCAATCGGGTCGAAGCGGACGAACGCCATGCTGGGGCCGCTGCACCTGGCAGGTGGTGCGTGTGCAAAAAATCATATTGCTGACGAATTAAGGCTTTGACTTTGCACACACAACAGATGGAGCAGGCGCGCACGCACGTCTGGCCACTGGTCGGCCATGCCCTAGAAGGAGGCGCGCGTCGTGGGAAGGGCGGGCCGTCGGCACGGGGTGGGCATAGCGGAAGCAGCACGGAGGGACACGCCCAAATTCCCCATTCCCATGTTTTTCTCATTCCTCCTGCATATTTCAACACTCCTCCGTAGGAAGAGGGACGAGGGAGGAGGGAGGAGGGAGGAGGCGACGACGACGACGACGACGACGACACCGACGAGGGCGGTGACGAAGGCGAGGACGAAGACGACGACGACGACGACGACGACGACGACGACGACGACGACGACGGTGACGACGACGACGAGGACGAGGAAGACAACGACGAGGACGAGGACGAGGACGAGGACGAGAACGAGGAAGACAACGACGCCGACGCCGACGCTGACGCCGACGCCGACGCCGCCGCCGCCGCCGACGACGACGATGACGGCGGCAGCGGCGGGGGAGGGCGAGGCGGCAGCCTCCACGGGCAACGGCGCGGGGCCCCTGGCGCCGAAAATGTCCGGGTGCGCCGCGCGGAGCCTGGAGCGCTCCTCGGCACCGACGACGACGACGACGACGACGACGACGACGACGACGACGACGACGACGACGACGACAATGAGGAGGACGAGGATGAGGACGAGGACGAGGACGAGGACAGCGACGAGGACAACGACGATGGCGACGACGAAGACACCTAGGTCACCTAGCTTCGCGCATCGCACCCCGCGAAGCGCGACGCGCGGTTAGCTTCGCGCTATCGCGCCGCCCGCTTGGAGAAGGGCAGGCGCTATGGCCCAGACCGCGATGCGCAATGCGCGATTGTCTTCGCGCTCCCGCGGGTGACCTAGCGGCAAGGGCGACGACGAGGAGGAGGACGACGACGACGACGCCGACGGCGGCGACGGCGGCGACGGCGGCGCACAGCGCTCCTCCGCATCATACCGCCACTCGTACTGGTTGGCCCATTCGTCAAATGTGATCTCCTGCGCAGAATGCACCTGTAAACCACCACCCTGGCCAGGGCCCTCTGGGGCCCTGGCATGGTATATGCGCCCTCCCGGCCAAGGCCAGGAGGGTCCATTCACCATCCTAGAGCCCAGGATGGCCCTGGCCAGGCACGGGGGCAGGTGCCCTCTGCGGATCTCCTGCTCATCGTTCAGCGCTCTCTGCCTGCAGTCAGCCAGGTACCGTCTCTGCCTCTCCTCCTGTGCGCCCACGCGGTCGTCGCCCAGATCCACGAGCAGCGCCCCGACCTTCTTGTCCCTCTCAGCCGACGCCTTCAGCTTCTGGTACTGACTCTGCACCTCCTCCCTGGACAGCAGGGCCATCAGCTGGCTGAGCGCCTCCTTGTGGGGGGGGGCACGCAGACGCCGACACCGATGCTCCCAGGACCTGCCCCAAGGTGCACCATGACCAGGAATCCGAGGCGACGCTGGCACTGGTGACGAGGGGCCGCCCGGGAGGCCCCACGAAAGGCATGAGCGACGGAGGGGCATCGGTACCAGCATGCATGCCGTTCTCCGCCTTCGGTGGCAACTCATGGGAGCCTCCCATACCGTCTTGTCGGCTCTTGCGAGTCGACGCTAGTCGACGCCAAATCGACTAAACTCGACGCTGACCGAAGCTAAATCGGCGCTATCTCATCGACTCCCAGAAGCTAATCGACGCTAGTCGAGGCTGAAGACGTAAGAGGGTACACCAGGCCCCATTATTTGCTACCGAATCCTCCGATCCGAGGCGACTCTGGGCACTGGCGACGACGGGCCGCCCAGAAGGCCCAGGAGGCACGAGCGACGGAGGGGCACCGGCACCAGCGTGCCGTTCTCCTCCGGTCCTTGCTCTCGAAGTTCGACAGCCTGACCATGGTCCAGTAGTCTGCGAGCGCGGCCTCCCTCCGGCCCGCTCGCGCCCGGGCCTGTCTTGCGGCGCGAACAACAAGGGGGTGGGGCGCGAGGGGTGAGGCCTTCTCGAGGGCGACAATGGGGGCGAATAGCCCAGGGGATAGCAACACATGTATCCAGAGGCGCCGATCGTCCATGCCTTCGGCGAGGCTCCCAGGCGAATACGTGTAATGCCCGCCCCTGGGATATTCGCCCCCATCGTCGCCTCCGACCTTCCAAGCATGCAGCGGGCCTTTGGGAAGACATCCTGTCTTTAAGAAACCTTCTCAAACGCCTCCACCCAATCTGAGAAGCACCCCATCTTCTCAGAATACCATCCCCAAAAAGTCCGTTCAAAATCGGTCCCTGGACTCCTCGAGCGGCCTGCCCCAGCCAACGGTTCACCCTGGATCGATGTTGGACCGCCCCAGTGCCCGAAACGGCCCTCCTGAGGCGGATAATCGCGAAGAGACAACTCGAACCACCACCCCTCCCTCGCCCGAGGCCCACTGCGCACGCAGAAGGCACCTGCACACCGTCACCACCACCCGTGCCTGGCCCTGGGCCTCCCTGGGGCCTCAGTGGCGGCCCTGGCCAGGCACTGGCGATGGGTGCCCTCTGCGCATTGCGCTCGCCGCCGAGCCTGCCCCCGCCGATAGAGCGCCTTCATGCTGCGGGGGTCCAGCTCCAGTGCCAGCGTCGCCCGCGCCTCCGCGGCCTCCTCGCGGCCCGCCTGCAGCGCAGCCTGCGCGGCGTTCAGCAGCAGCGCCAGCCGCAGCCTGGCCTCCCCCTCCTCGTCCGCCCGGAACTCGCGCGGCACGGGCGGCTCGGGAAGGTCCTCGCTCGGGCCTGGCGAAAAAGGGGGGATAGCGAGAATCAGCTCACGTGATTGATTTTCCCGGCGCCTCCAGGCGCCGGAGGCGGCCACGTATCGAGGACTGGGCCCCTCGGTGGGGCCGGCACCAGCTGCACGCAGCACATTTCGTGATACCCCCCTTCCCCCAGTCCCCCCCTTTTCCTCCGGCCCGACTCACGGGCGGCGGGCACGAGACACGTGACACCGCGCCTCGCGCCCCGCGAGGCGCGACCATCCGCGCGGCATCGCGCCCTCGCGCCGCTCCCTTGCAGGAGGGCGGCCGCGCTGGCTCGGACTGCGACGCGCGAAGCGCGATCCTCTTCGCGCCTCCGCGGGCGACCTGAGACGAAGGCAGATTCGGGTGAAGGTACAGTAGGGGCCCGACCACAAGAAACCGAGGGCGTCCGCTGATTTTCGGCGTGGTAACGTCAGTCTCTCCATTGCGAAACCATCGAAACCCAAGGAACCCAGGATACCCTGGAGCCCCAGAAGCAAGCAGGGTGTTTCTCGGCATGGGTCTCCACCGTAAGCCGAACAACTCTGAGAACTGGCGGCTCTGGAGGATCTCTCGGGCGCCGCGGCACTCTGAGAGCGTTCGGACACAGATTTGATCCTCGTGATAGACCCGTCCAGACCAGACCCCTGCATGGGGTCCATCTGGTGCAGAGTTTCACCCCGGATCCATTTTTGAAGGTCCCAGAGCCGGAAAACTGACGACCGAAGTGGGCGACAAGCTTTCTCGAACCCAAATCCTCCCTGCCGTCGCGGTGTGGATACACGGGCGCGATCCAACGGGTGCGCAGCCCCACGGATAAATACGCTCTGCGCGGGGCATCCGCGCAGAGCCGGCCGGTATCCGCGGGGTCACGGCCGAGGAGCCTGAACCGCGAGGCCGTCGATATGGACGTGTTTCCCGCCCCCGAGGTCCGGCTGAGAAAGCCCCCGGGCCTTCCTGTCGTCCTCCGCCCGGCTCAGGTGCGCCTGCCTGAAGACGAGGCGCCACGTGGACAGCACCTCGCGGCACTTGTCCGCGATGTAAAGGCCCTCGTCGTACTTGTCCAGTGCGCCGACGAAGTTGTCTCGCTTCAGGCGCTCGTTGCCCTCGGCCTTGCAGATCTCTCCAGCCTCGCGGAGCACCGTCGGCTTGCACTCGATCGACGTCATGTCAAGCGGCTTCATGGGGAACTCGTGGGGGCTGTTCGCCATGGCCTTCGCGTAGCGTACTCTGTGCTGCCTGACGTCCACCCGGAACTTCTCCAGTGTCACGGGCTCTGGCAGCTCCACCCTCTTCATTTGCGCGTCGAAGGGGTACACTCTCAGCACCTGGCAACGGTTCTCGCACCTGGAGAGGCTTTCGATGTAGCCGTGGGGCATCGGTGCGTACCAGTCCGGCCCGTAGTGCTCCTCCAGCGCGGCTGCCGGCATGGTAAAAGACGTCATCTTCTCAAACTCGCACAGCTGCGGGGCGAACGGGGTGTACCTCCACCCCGAGGAGCTCTCCGCGCCACCGTCCGCGAAGTCCCACAGCTGCCCGAACTGGGGCACGAACACGACCGCGCTGAACCGCACAAAGCTCTCCTGGTGCGAGAACTTGTAGACGATCGGCAGCGCCATGTCCGCGCTCCAGCCCTGAGCGAGGAAGGTCCTCGGGCACGCGCTCTCGGCCCGTGCCCCGCCCTCCTCGCCCGAGGCACCCTCCACCAGCTCCTCCACGGGCTCGAACCCAGCACGCCGGAACGCCTCCGTGATCCTCGCATCGCGCGCCGCGGGCGTCGGGCTGGGGCAGGCGCGCTGCACCTCCGCCAGGTCCCAGGCGTAGATGCCCACCGTGACGTCGTCGTGATACGGCTGGAACTGCCCCTCCCGGAGGGCCGCGAGCGCCGAGCCGTAGGCCAGGAAGTGGGGCAGGCCGACGTCGTCCAGGGCCTCCCTGCCGGCCCTGAAGGACGCGAGCTGGCGCTCGCGCTTGAGCCGGAACTCCGTGCCCGTCAGCCGGAACTGCTTCCCCGGCGGCATGCTGGGAGCCAGCGGCCGCCCGCCAGGAGGGGAGCCGAGCGCAGGCGGGCCCCAGCCCGGGCCCCGAGCCCCGAGGTGCCCCCTGAGCCCCGGGGGCTGTGCACGCGCGCAGAGGGCTCAAGTGCGCAGGCGCGCGCAACGTTCCTGCGACGCCGGCATGCACCCATCGGGCAGAAAAAGCCCAGATTGCTCGCTGGATCTGTGCCGCTTCCCGTGCGCAACAGACGGCGCGCAGCGATGCTCGCTCGTGAGGCGGGAAGCCCCCCGGCCTGGCTGCCTCCGGACACGGCTGCCCAGGAGAAGGCAGGAAGGTCAGGGCCCAGAGCCCGTCGCGCGAGAACACGCGACCGCAGCTGTGCCCAAACTCACTCAACTCGTGAAGAGCGGCCCGGAGCCGTGAGGGCTCGAATACCGGACTGCACGGAGGATCGCGGCATCTCCATACCTGGCTGGACAACCACACGTCTGCAGGTGGGCCTACCCCTGCAGCTCAGACTTCTGGAAAACCAGATCGAGCTCAGAATTCGAGGGATGTCTGCAGACCAGTGAGCCCCAGCGGCGGTGTCCGATACCCAAGCGTCGATCGGACCCGTAGGGGTAGGGTTCGCAAGTGGTCGCAGGTCGATCTGACCCACAGCCGATCGGAGGGCTAAACGAGAAGTCCGAGAAGTCCGAGAAGCGGGGCCAGGAGCCGGAACCACCAGACCAGCCCGGAGACAAGACCTGTGCGGTCCCGGCTGGACCCCTGCGGCGAGAGCCCCGCCCGACCGCCCACAACGCCCCGTCGGGCGCGCTCGCCTCACGGGAGGGGCAGGAGGAGGCGGCGAGGGCCAGGCAAAGCGAAGTGCCCCGCACATGCCCACGCCTTGTGAAGGCAGGTACGCCCACACACGACGAGGACGAGCACGCGCAAGCGAGTGTCCTCCCCGCCCCCACCCGCAAACCTGCCCGCACCCGCCTTCGGAACAGGTGTACGCATGGTCAACGTCTGCCAGCCCCCCCGGTGGACGCCGTCATGCTGCGAATGTGAGGTTTCCTCGACGTCATGGCCCACTTAACAGCAGCTTCCCAGCTTGGCAGTCACAACGTCGGCTGACCACATCCTGACCTCAGACCTCCATCATTCCGGAAGATCCGCTTCCGAGTCTGTCGACTCACGTTGGCCTCGAGAAAATCAAGAAGCCCAAACACAAGGCAGAAGAAGGCTCCAAGAGCCCCAGGAAGCGCACAGGATGACCCCAGAACCCCCAGGAGCACTCCAGGCTACCCTCACCGGGCTCTACACGGTCCTAAGACCACCCCATACATTCGCAAGATGTATCAACCGAGCCTCTCGGGGAAGCTCGGCAGAGCCGTCGCGCCCAAGACAGCCTCGAGACCCCTGACGGGCCCCGTAATTACGTGCCCCCAGCAGGCCCCCCCCCAAGAAGGCCCGAGGAGGTCTCCAAAGAACCCAAAGGCTCCCAATAAGCCTCCACGGTGAGAGAAAAAAAAGGGAGTACGAGGTTGCAGACAAGGAGGGAATGTTTAAGCCAGCGCTGGTTACGACAGGGCACTCAACTGGAACTGGTCTTGAATTTGGCATTCTTCCTGACGCGCTGCTGCGATGGCTCAATGGTTGGGTTGTACCGCAGGCGGCTGAATAATAGACAGAGAAACAATGATTCGCAGGATCCGCCCCCGTGCCTGCAGCACGTTGAGGCGTGGAAGAATGCCAAGGGCTGCCTGGCAGGTTTCTGTGGTCTTCTAAGGGACCACCACCTCTTCGTTCAGACGACAGGCGAATGCACCACCCCTACTTCCGGGAGTCCTTGGGCGGCCATGGCGCGTCCAAGAGGCTCTCTAAGGCTTCCATGACGGCACAGGAATCCCACCCAGGCCGCCCAAGAGGCCTCCAAGACAGTCCAAGATCGCTCCAAGACGCCCATGATGACCCCAAGACGGCTGAAGAGGCCTCCAAGAAGCCCCAAGAGGCCGCCAAGGCCCCAAGAGGCCCCAAGAGGCTCCCAGGCGGCCCCCAATAGGCCTCGAAACTGCTTCCCAACAGGCCCCCGAGAAGCCTCCCACGAGATCCCAACGAATATCGAATAGGCTTCATATCCACAACCCAGGCACGGTGGCGAGACGTGTCGTAGGCAGCTGGATAGCTTTCGGGAGCCATTCGAGGTTTTCGTGTTTGCCTCTTGAGCCATTGCTCACGACAGCACGATCCAAGCTCACATAGCTACGTGGGTGCGTGGGTCTGTGCGAAGTAGTTTCTTGCGTGTGTCGTTGGGGTGCTTGAGACTCTGACATTAAAATGTCTTCATTTACCACACTTGCTTCCGCCGGTGCATTGAGAATTCAATCGTGGATAAGACAAAGGACAAGGGTGAAGACGCAAGGCATTACACCGCTTCGCACTGAAACGCGAGAGTAAACTTCTGCATGGTTGCCCACATTATGAAGAAAACCATAAAAATATCTCGTCGTAACGAACGGCCTCCGCTCACGCGCATCCATTTCGAGTCGCCCACGTGTTGGCCGTCGTTGCGTGCACCTACTTTTTTCTGCATTGGGGGGGGAGAGTGTCGGTGGGGCCCGGCCTGGGGGGCCCGTGGCGCCGTAGCAACCCCCGGGGGGGCGGAGGGGCCACGGCGCGTCGCCGTGGGGCCCAGCGGTGTCGCTGGCCTGGGCTGCACAGCTGACAACAGGGCCCGCCGCCCGTGGCGAGGAGTCTCGGACTTCGGCTGTTTGTGAGCGTTTGGGCGGAAGGGTTGGGGGGAAGGGGGGATCTGGCCCCAGACCTCTGCTTACTTAGCGCGACGGTTTGCAGCAGTGCGTCCCATGGGAGAGGGACTCCACCTGCTCGAAACAGGCTCCCCAAAAAAGCCCAGATCTACACCAGGGGGGGGGGGGAAGGGCCGCGCCGATCGGCAAAACAACGTATAAAAAACGATAACTTTCTACACTACGTTGCACGAAGGGCAGCGGCCTCCCGGGACGCCTCATCGAACGATACAGCTTCTGCGCCGAACTCTGACGTTGACGAGAATATCCACCGCCGTGCCGCGAGGCACTGAGTGGAGTCGCCTCAGGTCCCTTCAATTTCTCTGCACTGGGTACTGCAGATCCTCCTGAACGGCCCCATGCCTTGGTGCTGTAGATCTCCTGAACGGCGTTTTTGTCCCAGAAGGAGCTTCACGGCTTCACGGCCTGCCTCTGTACTTTGGCGCACGCCGACA